AAAAAGCATGAACTAAGACTCCGCCACCCACCCACACACACATACATTGTTAACCCACCTTGAAGCTCCTTTATTATGTATGGCTCGCTATCTGGACCACACATTTTTTCTTCATTACACATCTTGATGTAGACAAGGTAACTTTTGGCAGAGTCGAGTCTTTGTAAAACTGCAGTGTTTGTTGTTGCATTTACATGATATTCACAGTTCAGAAGAGAACCCAGCGTATGAAGATAGTGATTGCAGAGAACAACATATTCACCAGGAGTGCCACGCCAGGAAGCATTGTCTGTCAACTGAAGTAAACAGTGGTGAGAAGGTACTTTTAATAACAAACCCCGTTTGGTAAGGGGGGGGGGGGGGGGGNTTTATCAGCTTCATTATTACTGTTCCAATATAGACAGTGTAATATTTATATAATGGGTTATTGACCAAGCGTGGGGTCAATTTAGTTCGCTAGATATTGGCTGAGGTTTTCTGTGTGTTTATGGACCTTGACTAAACCGTCTCGGTTCATCAACACACAAAAAAGAAGGCCAATATCCAGCCATCTTGACCAAACAAGCTGAATGGTCCATAAAGGATTTATTATATTATGGCTTTGTACTTGTTTTTCTTGCAGGAGACAGTGCATAATCCTGAGTGGGCAAGACAGCGCCATCTTGCCTGATCGGGTAGCCAATGTCAGCACAAGATTTGGATCATCTTGCCTGCTCACAAGAGTTATATGATACGAAATGCTAGTACAGACCTTCCACTCCACTATAACATTCCTCAGTGCAGGATTACCAGGGAAGATCACTGACCAGTGTCTTATCACCTTTGATGGAGTATCTGGTTCTAAAATGTCAATATTGTAAGTATTGTATTAATTTACAGTTACAATAATAAATAACTATTTTCTTGCTCAAAAATAAACCACAGCTGTAGAACCCAGTTACATGTAATAATATGGACACCACAAGGACAAGCAAAAGTGTCCGTATTTAGGGCAGCAAAAAAAAAAACAGTACTGTTGACTGCGCAGACTGAGTTTGTTTGCTATTGAAAGGTGCAGCAGTCAGTTGAAGCCTCTCTGAAACATACATCAGGGTCCCATGGGTGTCTACTTGCATGTCCAAGATTATAGACTACACGTATAACTGAAATCAATCCAGTCAGATTGCTCCCTTGCCTGTCCAATATTTNAATAGGAAGTGTGCTAAGCAGGTCGCTGACCAGACAGACAGGCAGGCACTTGTCATACATTATGAAAATTTTCTATGTGTCTTCAGTTCAATTCAAGCACCTAAAATAGTCATTTACACGTTTTGACTGGATTTATCAGCTTCATTATTACTGTTCCAATATAGACAATGTAACATATAATGGGTTATTGACCAAGCGTGGGGTCAATTTAGTTCGCTAGATATTGGCCGAGGTCTTCTGTGTGTTTATGGACCTTGACTAGGCCGTCTCGGTTCATCAACACACAAAAAAGAAGGCCAATATCCAGCCATCTTGACCAAACAAGCTGAATGGTCCATAAAGGATTTATTATATTATGGCTTTGTACTTGTTTTTCTTGCGGGNTTCTTATAGGTGAAAACAAATTCAAGCCACGCCCACAAAATAGGATTTTGGTACCCCTGAGGGGTTCTTTTCAAAATTTCCCATGAGCGTGCCATGTCCTTATATGAGTCCGAGTCCCCTCCCCAGGAGTAAACAGTTACTGAATGAGGTGTTTTGAGATATCCACATCAAACAAGGACGAGGTAATTGCTATCAGCTGAAGCCAAAGGATGACACTGGCAACACTTACTAAGAAATTGACTATTCTTGACGTCACAAAAACCAAAACAAACAAACAACTGCTTTACTATACAAGGTTGCAAAAAAAATATATATATATATGATCAAAACTTACTTTATTTTAGTACAGGTGAAGCCAGTTTAGTTGAAATACAACATTAAGACTTCATCTGCTATAAAAACATTTCAGTCTATTTCTCTCATTTTTTCCATCATTCTCGCCTCCAGATATTGTGCTTAGAAAGGGAAGGAGAGAGGTAAAGCAGACAGGCAGAAGGGAAGTAACATGACAAGAATGAAATAGGAAGTGTGCTAAGCAGGTCGCTGACCAGACAGACAGGCAGGCACTTGTCATACATTTTGAAAATTTTCACTGTGTTTTCAGTTCAATTAAAGCACCTAAGATAGTCATTTACATGTTTTGACTGGATTTATCAGCTTCATTATTACTGTTCCAATATAGACAGTGTAATATTTATATAATGGGTTATTGACCAAGCGTGGGGTCAATTTAGTTCGCTAGATATTGGCTGAGGTTTTCTGTGTGTTTATGGACCTTGACTAAACCGTCTCGGTTCATCAACACACAAAAAAGAAGGCCAATATCCAGCCATCTTGACCAAACAAGCTGAATGGTCCATAAAGGATTTATTATATTATGGCTTTGTACTTGTTTTTCTTGCGGGAGACAGTGCGTAATCCTGAGTGGGCAAGACTGCGCCATCCTGCCTGCTCGGGTAGCCAATGTCAGCACAAGATTTGGATCATCTTGCCCACTCACAAGAGTTATGTGATAAGAAATGCTAGTACAGACCTTCCACTCCACTGTAACATTCCTCAGTGCAGGATTACCAGGTAAGATCACTGACCAGTGTCTTATCACCTTTGATGGAGTATCTGGTTCTGAAATGTCAGTATTGTAAGTATTGTATTAATTTACAGTTACAATAAGAAATAACTATTTTCTTGCTCAAAAATAAACCACAGCTGTAGAACCCAGTTACATGTAATAATATGGACATCACAAGGACATGCAAAAAGTGTCCGTATTTGAGGGCAGCAAAAAAAACAACTGTTGATTGCACAGACTGAGTTTGTTTGTTATTGAAAGGTGCAGCAGTTAGTTGAAGCCTCTCTGAAACATACATCAGGGTCCCATGGGTGTCTACTTGCATGTCCAAGATTATAAACTACACATTCAAAACCACTATGTATACAACTCATGTAATAATGATACATTATTAAACGACCTAGTTCAGAGAACCAATAACTGAAATCAATCCAGTCACATTGCTTCCTTGCCTGTCCAATATTTGCTACTGTACTTGGTTAATAAGATAAATATAATTTGAATATTGACAATATCGAACAACTAATTATTATTTGACACCATAATATTGCACAGAAGACATACCCCCAGCTGGTGTTTTCACAATGCGTGGTCCTTGCACTTCGCTTGGAGCACTCTTAGACTTTCCTCCTCCACTGAGAAATCTGACCGTCAAGTACACATAATATTCCATGAATACCTCCAAACTTGTCAGCAAAGTAAATCTTGTTTTGTTTCGGACAACCTTGGTCTACACATGAAAGGGAACAAAAATGCTAAATAAATGAATGTTTTTAAGAATGTTTTTCTCTAGGCATAGGTTTAGTCTAAGGGTTAGGTGTACTCCGGCTGTCTGTAATTTGGCTGGGGTTTGAATAATTTATTATGAATGACTTAACCATGATTGTGTTATCAGTTTAACACTCTGCCATTAAATTTTCCCTTCCTCTCCCCCCCTTCACAAAAAAAAAAAATGGATTATTGGGTGCTATGATGCTACAAGTTGATCTTAATTTTGCTAGAAATGCAATTTTTCACACTAAATTTAAAAGCACATGTAAAGTAGATTATGATGAAGATTACATCATGAAAATGAAGTTAGTGACAATATCTTACTTTTAGTGCATGTGTGTGTTCAAGACAAAATTTGAACTTTTCAATTTTTTTGGCTGGCCTGTTTTAATTATTGCTTTCCGTTTTCTCAGCCTTTTTATTTGAGTGGCTGCCTTCTACTCTGTGCAACATGACCTGACAGCCCGACCTTTAACCTTTCTTGGAATCATTTCTTCAATAAAACCTCTTCAAAGATATATACCCCATAACATCAGAACCTCTATTAAACATGAAAGTTTCTTGTCAAAATTTTTAAAAAGCAAAAAACCTAGTAGACTAGTATA